GAACCGGGTGCAGAGCAGCGGGGCCCAGGACCAGAGAGGCCTTCTGCGAAAAGAGGACCTGGTGCTTCCAGAATTTCTGCAGCTGCCTGCTCAGGGGCCCAGCTCCCAGGAGGCACCACCACAGCCTGAAGCAGTGGCCCAGCCCAGTGGGGGGCCCTCCAAGTCCACTGCCCACCAGGCCCTCTGACAGCTGCCAGCAGTCCCAGCTGGCTGCATGGCACCGGCAGGCCGAGCAGGCCATGGGTCCACACTGCATGCCCCATCTGTGCCATGAGTGTCCCTGGCCCCTTCCTGCCATGGGCAGGCCCGCAGGAAGAGCCAGGAGGGGTAGAGCAGGGACCCCCACAGCTGGCACCCCCTGGTCCCTCGCAGGCTCGTCTATCTTCCCCTTGCAGCCAGGCCACGGCAGGAAGGTGGCCTTGCCCCTGGTGTAGGCATGCCAGACACCGAGGGATGGCGTTGGCAGTGCCAGCCTCCCCAGCCTGAGCCATGCCTCAGCAGAGGGCAGAGGAGGGGCCGGCCCCTCCTCACAAGCTGGTGTGAGTAAGGCCTGGGGGTGTGGCGGCAACCCCTTCCTCTACCCACAGAGACTACTGTACGCACGGATTCTGCAGTTGGCTTGGGCAGCTGGGTTTGTCCTGGATGTATGATATTGTTATAATAATAATAGTATTATTATTCTGCCATGAGGAGTGTTCCTTGTGTGCCAGCCTGCCCTGTAACCTCCTCCCTACCAGTCACACCGCCTCTCTCGCCAGGGTCAGTGCCAGGCGGCTCTCGGGGACCTCAGGAGGTGCCTCCTGACTTCCTGTTTTCAGGACCTCTCTTGCTGACTGCCCAGGAAGGGGGCGAGAGACAGAGATGGGGGAAGAGCTCTGGGAGCTACGCCGTGGCCAGGATCACACTGTCCCGTGGTCTCTCGTCGGAGCCCCCTTTCTGGCTGCTGTCCTGTCTCTGCGGGGACTGAGTGTGTCTCGCACATGTCACGGGAGTGCCTTTGGATGGGTCAAAGGCCTGTGTGGGACCGTGGCGGGCAGATGTCATCCTCGCCTGCTTTGCTGGGTCATCCCTGTCCCCAGCTGCCAGGGAAGCCTGGACCCCACACTGGGAGGGAAGCAGTGAGGACCTCCCAGCCTGCAGGAGAGAAGCCAGACTGGGCCCTGCCCAGAGGTAAGCGCTGTGGTCAGGAAGCGAGGGGATGGGATGAGCGAGCCCCGAGAAGCTGAGGCGAGTCTCCTGGCTCTCCCAGGCCCTGTCTGTGCCTGCTGGCCCCTCTGTCCACTGGCTCCTGCATCTTTGGGCTCAGGGGGGGAGGCTGGAGGGCTTTGCTGGCCCCACTTCGCCTCCCTCCAAAAGTCTTGGCTCTCTGCCTCCTCAGCCCGTTTTGTTTGGCTGGCTTCGCCATACTCGATCTTGAACCGGTGCTGGGGTGGGCCGGTGAGTCAGGCCTGGCCAGTCAGCGCTCCACTGCACTCGTCATCCGAGTCTGGTTCAGGACTGGTCCTGTCCTTTGGCCCTGGTTTTTCCAGTCTAAACGTCAGTCCTGGTCATTTTATGCCACCTCCTGGGATTTGTAGAAAGGACCCAAAGAAGGAGAACTTGGGAGCGAATAAAGCCAACCAGGGGAGCAGGACTGAGCCACGGAAGGAGACTCCCGGCAAGTTCAGCCGCGCCTCCAGCCAGCCCCTGGAGGCCCTCTCCTGCAAGCCGACCCGCTCCTTCCAGGCGTGCGTCCTGCACCACCCCGGCCTGTGTGGTTGAAGGTCTTGACTTGAACTCAGCATTTTCCCTGACCCCTACATGAGGGCTCCCGGTTTTGTCCTCTCCCGTTCTGTCCAGCTTCCTTCTTTCACGCTCACGGCACCATTGCCTCGTGTCCCCGTGCACGTGTGCTGGCCATGCTGACCGTCCCCTTGGCCTGACGAACTGACAGGTGATGCCCCAGCCCCGGTGCAGGACCAGGGGGAGAGGTTGGGAGACAAACCCGGTCCCTTCTCTGGTCAGTCGCAGAACTTCTTGAAACTTCCTGGGACCCGGGGCGTCTCTCTTGTGGGAGGAGATGGACAGGCAGGGACACCCGATAAGAGATGGGCCATCTCTCCAACGTCGGCAGCTCTTGCAGGCCAAGCCTGCCCTTCACCCAACCTTGTGCCTCTGCCAACCCGGCAAGGATGCCCGTTACTTCTGGGACCGGTGGGATTGCCCCACGGAGAGGGGACGGCTCTAACCCATTCTGTTGCTAATTACGGGAACAGCCGAGCCTGGGTAATTTGGGAGTCCAGACGTGTGTTTGGTCCGTGGTTTGGAGAGTGTGTGCTGGGAAGGGTCTTCTTGCTGGCTCTGCTGGGAAGTCCTGTCACGCACAGCGGAGGGCAGGCGGAGGGCAGGCGCCCACTGCGGGGTGGGGCACGCCTGTGCTGTCCCTTCAGAAGCACACCAGGCCTCAGACACCACCCTCCCCAGGTATAATGACTTCGAGGACTCACCTTTCAGCACTCATCGGATTACGTCTCCTCGTCAGACCTTCACAGCCCAACCAAATTCCACATGTGCGTGTCGGGGGTTCACAGGGCATGGCAGGGGTCATGGGCCAGGCAGGAGGGTCCCCACAGAGGTTGCTTCCTGCAGGCAGGAGCTCGCTTTCGGCTTTCCGAGACCAGGTTAGACGCACTCCGCCCTTTACCTCACGTCTGTCTCCCTGAGAAGCAGCCAGGTGGGGATGAGTGCAGAGTGGAGGGACTAGCCCACCTGGTGGGGAATTGCCACTGCAGCCCCACCAGCAGTGGTGCTGTCACACCTGGGGACACCCCAGGGAGGGCCTGGAAACCCCTCAGGAGCCAGGCTCCCTGGAGAGTATGTCACCAGGGCTATTCCGGGAGGCACTTCAGGAGCTTCTGCTGAAAATGACAAAACAGCGGTGACCCAGCTGAAAACCACTCATTCCTAGGCATGAAGTCCGTCCTGCAGGGTTGTTTATGGTCCCCAAGCTGGCAACCGGCCAAATGTGGGCAGGAGCGGTGGTCATGACGCCCTGGTAGACAGACACAGTACGTCCCGATGCGGAGACTTCTCCAAGGTGGGGTCCCTGTCTGGGAGCCGAGCAGGACGGTGCGTGTGGCAGGACGCCTTTACCACCACAGACGCAGAACTGCTGCAGTGTACAGAGAGACAGGGAATGTTCCAGAAGGATGCACGTGACACTGACGGGCAGCTGACAGGCAGACAGGGAAGGACCAGGGTTAGGGTGGAAGTCAGAGAAGACTTGTGCCTTAGTTCCAGTTTTTTTGTTTGTTTCTAAGAATTTTGCTATAGGGCACGTGCGCTCACCAGAGAGACAGAGACAGAAACAAAGTGAGACATCACCCACTAGGAGATGGCCCTGCCACAATCCCTTCTCCCCATTCTCCTTGTAGGATCTTGGGCACACATGCACATGCACCTGGCGTGAGTTGCAAGCCTCTAGGTCCAGGACTCGAACTGCGGTCAGCCCTGTGATTACACCCAGTGGCGTAGTCATTAGGCTATCTGCTGGGCCCAGCTCCAGTTTTACTTACATATTTATCTTTAAACAGCGCGATTGTAAGTAATTGTGGTAACACGAAGACCCCCAGGACCCTCTGTCACTGCAGGGCCATCTGGGCTACAGCCCAGAGCTTCCCGTGGGGGCGTGAGCTCGCGTGGCTGGCCAGGTGTGCACTCTGCTGTAGTCCCCTCTGGGACCCTCTCCCCAGCATCTGGGCTACAGCCCAGAGCTTCCCGTGGGTGCGTGAGCTTGCGTGGCTGGCCAGGTGTGCACTCTGTTGTAGTCCCCTCTGGGACCCTCTCCCCGACACCCGCAGAGCCCTGGGGTGAGGGAGGCCCCGTTCTCACCAGTTTCTGTGCTTGCCGTGTCCTTCGGGGCCCAGGATCATTCCAGTCCAGCCAGGCTCCATCGGTGGAGAGAGGGTCCCGGGTCCATGGCCTGCCACCCCAGACCCAGGGCAGGGCTCAGGGTACCAGCTGGTCTACCCACACTTTCCATAGCCACCGCCCTGGCCGGCTGCCTGGTGGTGGGAGCAGGCGTGGAGCCAATGGGAATGCAGGCAGGAGCCAGCCTGTCCACAGCCCAAAGGGAGAGAGGACCGGCACTTTCTGGCTGACGGCCCTGCACCCTCCCGGCACCCCATTTTACAGAAGACACAGGCTGATAGAGCAGGTGTGACTTTCGCAAGGACCCCAGGGGCCCAAGTCCACGTGGCCCCTTCCAACAGCCTTGGGTCTGGGGAAGGGGACCGTACGAGATGGGCACGCGACCAGCACGTGGCACACGAGGGCCTCTGTTCTGAGCCAGGGTGGGAGCAAGGAGTGGCTGGCTGCTCCTGGGGAGGCGCTGGGAGTGCTGATGCCGCAGGGGGCTGGCGCTCCCCAGAGCAGCCACCTCCCCCGCCAAGGGCCAGCACAAGGTGCACCTTGCAGGGGGCCTGGGCTGGTGGGGGGACTCGGCTCTGAGGGTGCAGAAGCTGGATTCTGCTTCCACGGGGAAATAGCCAGGATTGGGAGCACAGGCTGGTGTGCTGAATCAGACGGGGCCCGGCTGGCCACGGGGCCAGGAGCTGGCGCCACAGGATGTCATTCACACCCTCGATGATCCTGGCAGGCCCAGAAAGAGCTAGGGACTTGTGTGTGTACACGGCCTGTAAGAAACACAGGGCTTGGAGCAGGTGCTCGGTAACCACCTGAGTGCCTGTCTGCAGAGACCTGGCGTGGGTGTCAGAGGCAGAAACGGAGGCTCCCCACAGAACCAGTGTCCTGCTCCACTCCAGTCAGCCTAGGGTGCCAGTCCTCGGGATGAAGTCCCAGCCAGCTAAGGTCAGAGAGGCCGCCATGTCCCTTCAGTGCTGAGGAGCTGAAGGAACCCAGAATCCAGGCCAAAACCTGGAGCATGGAGTACCTAGAGCTGAGAGCCTGGGACGAGCCCAGAGCCCAGAACCCAGAACATGGAGCCGAGAACTTGCAGTCCAGAGCCTGGCGTCGGAGTCTGGAGCCCAGCACCTAGAATGAGAGCCCCGAGCTTGACATGAAGCCTAAAGCTGGAGCCAGCACATAGGAACTTGGAGCCTGGAGCCCAGAACCTGGACTTGCACTCAAGAATTCAGAGTGCAGGGTCGAGCGCACCCGGCTGCAGGCAGAACAAGAGGACCTCAACTCTGAAGCCAGGCTGCTGAGCTTCAGCCCCGGACCGGAGGCTGCTGTCTGGCAGCGTGGTGCCTTGGCCTCCCTCTCGGATAGGGTCCCTGAGGCCAGCATGGAGGGCAGAGGCTGGAGGCACAGGAGCTGTGGGGCAAAAGGGAATTTCTGAGAAAAGCCCGAAGCAGCCTCAGCTCTTTTGGCCACAAACTTTGACCTCCTTGGCGAATGAGTGTCCGATGGCCAGGCTACCTGGGTTAATAATTATCAGAACACCTTATCCCCAAACAGGGGCAGGTCATCCTCGGGGCAGCCTCTGCCGGGCCCATGGGCTCTGGAAAATGGCACTTGGAGGAGACGAGGTCTCAGGACCCTGCCTGCCCTGCGCTGGGGCTGGGCAGCTTGGCTGGGTGTCCAGCTCTCCAAGAGAGCATGAGGTCAGAGGCTGGGGAAGGGTCACCCTGCTCCTGAGAAGTTGTGGGCGCCGCCACCGTGCCCATCACCGTGACCCCACACACGGCGGGGAAGCGTCTGTCAGGGGCTGTGTGCAGGCGTGGCCGAGCGCCCGTGCGGCCATGCTGGGGAGGTGCTCACTGCCAAGTCCCCACATGTACCACGCGGGCTCTTAGCGGGGCTGACGCGCTATGAGAAGGAGCAGAGGTTCCCGACCCAGTTGTGGGACGATGCTGGTCGTTAGCCAGTTCCCCAAAACTCCAGGGAGAGAATGGTCTTGCTGTTGTTTTGGGGGAACCAGCAGGTGGTGAAGTGGTCACAGTGCTGAACTCCCACGTGACCCACCTCAGTTTGAGTCCCAGGCCCAGCTGAGACGCACTCCAGGCATGTGTGCGTGCGTGCCCAGAGGCCCAGGATGGAGGAGCAGGGCGTATGGTGTGGCCGCCCCTCTTGGGGTTGACGTCTTATTTCTTCTCTCATCTCTGGTGAGCACACACTCCATGGCAAAAACAAAACAAAACAAAACAAAACAAAAGCTTAAAAGAAAAGGAGAGAATGTTGGCTTTTCCTCCTTCGCTTGTCCTCAAACTCTAGGTCCTCCAGGAAACTCAACACAGCCAACTGGGTGTCCAGCAGATGGCTCAGTGGTTACATCACTGGACTCCAACCGAGTCGACTGTGGTTTGAGTCCTGGACCTGGCAGCTTAAAACTCACACTAGGATCATGTGCGTGCCCGAGATCCCCAGAGCAGAGTGGAGGAGAAGGGATGGCATCGTGGCTGTCCCCCCGGGGTGTTTCTCGCTTTTTGTCTCTGTCATTCTGTCTCTCCCAAGCTCATGTGCCCTATAGCAAAAAAAATCTCTCATTAAGACAAAGAAGAAGAAGAAGAAGAAGGAGGAGGAGGAGGAGGAGGAAGCAGCAACAAGTGGGTCATAACCGAGAATTTCAGAAGCGGGCGGCCACGCCAGCTCCACGGTGGCTTGGTTTCTGGACGTGCACCTTGTTCCTGGGACCGTGTCCCCCGCCCCCCGTCTGTGTCAGGCCCCCCCCCCT